TAAAGTTCTGGCCTGGTCTAAACAGTCATTAAATAGACTAATTAACTGCAAGGGATATAAAGCATTCCTCTCAGGCTAGCATATCCATACAAATGCAACGACTGAGGAGAGCAATGGGCAATGAACTTCTTATAGACTCAGCTATGAGACTTTCAAGTTTCCTTCCATCAAATTTGTTGGCATCCTCTAGGGATTTGATGGCATTTTCCTTGAGACTGGGTCCCTTCCAGATTCTGGTAGGGTATAATAGAGAGTTATTTGAAAATGTGGCCTTTTTCCATGGTACACGCACCTAAAGAGACTGAACTCTCCACTGACTTGGCACTGTGGCACCACAGTAAGACCAGCTAACTTAGGTGTTTGATCCTGCCAGGCACTGATTATTCTGGCCTATGATCCAGAGACTCAAGGTACAGTTATGCATTACATTTAGATCATACTAAAGGCACTTAGCAAGAGTTCATGAGCTTTAATGTGCAGGCATTCACATTACAAGTACCTTCTGAGCATATCCAAATTATGCCACTTCAGTTGAGGGTTAACCCTGGGCTGTACTACCTAGCTCATGTTAGGGTAACTTCAGTCTACTCCACAGAGATCAAACAAGCAGTTTGAAGTCCTCCAGCATCCCAGGTACCCCCAACCCTGCTCATCCACCCACAGCAGGGATAGGCTCCAGGTGCCCTGGCTCCTTGCCAGACCCCTGCTTGCCAGCCTTTTAGGGGCAAGTCAAAGCTGTTCAGGCAGGAAACAGTATTAGCCCTTGATGGGCAACTGCTCACAGCATGTTCTAGCCTGAACACTGTTTAACATCCCACAGGTTTCGTATGGTGCAAGTGTAACCCAGAACTGCTCAGGTGCTTATCATTAAATCATTAAAATTATATTTTAGTCAATGTTGCTATTGCCATGTTTAAGTTTTCAAGCACCTGATTTAAAGGGGTTTCTACGTCAGGCAAGAGCCAGGATAGAGCTTTACAGCTGCAGTGGTCACTTCTGGACCAGTCTCTTCTGGACATGTCTCTTCTGGACCAGTGGTCACTTCTGGATGTGTCACTTCTGCGCCTGTCTCTTCTGGACCAGTGATCACTTCTGGATGTGTCACTTCTGCGCCTGTCTCTTCTGGACCAGTCTCTTCTGGACCAGTCTCTTCTGGACATGTCTGTTCTGGACCAGTGGTCACTTCTGGACATGTCCGTTTTGGAACAGTGGTCACTTCTGGACTAGTCTGTTCTGGACCAGTCTCTTCTGGACATGTCTCTTCTAGACCAGTGGTCACTTCTGGACCAGTCCCTTCTGGACATGTCTGTTCTGGACCAGTGGTCACTTCTGGACGTGTCACTTCTGCACCAGTCTTAGTAAAATAAGCAAAAGCGACTGTCATTATTAAAGATGCATCTTACACAGCACCCAAGTCTCCTCTCCGTCCACTACATTAAAACATTTCACTAAGGAGTTCTACTAAAACTTCAGCTTCTGGGCACCCTTATTTTAGGATGTGATGAAGAAATTGAGGAATCCTGACAGCAGATTGGATACAACAATATGATGTCATAGCACCAGAAACCTTTGCATCATAATTTCATTTGCAGATGTTTCACCTCTGGGAATGAAGAAGATCAGAATGCAGATCCCTACAGAGGTATACCACTGTTGTGGGTGAGGGTGTGCGGGGATAACAATGTGAAGAAGTGAAGCGTCCAATGACTCTCTCTAAACAACTTGAAAGAACACTTATTAAATTGAAATGTGTAAATGCAGGGCAAAAACCAGAATGTGTCCATTTCGAATGGTTCCTGCTTTACTCAAGTGGAAAATTCCTAGTACATGGATAAACCCATCAAAATATATTACAGAAAATCCTAGTAGAGATGGAAAAAAACCTATTAGGTCATTCTAGTTTAGGTCCTTGCCAGCATAAGAGTTAGATTACTCGCTAGTGGTTTACCAACAAACTTCAAGTGATATAAACATATTTAAAATGTAACACTAAATCTATGAAGTTAAAACCTTGCAATTGATTTATAATGTGAGCCAGCATATTTTCAAAACATTAATTGTATGGCAGAAACCTTCATAACGGTATGTTTATGGGATTGCCTGGGTGTTTTTCCTTTCATGGAAATATATTTGCTTAAAATTTTGACATTTCCTGTACTAAGAAAAAAATTAAAAGTCTGTGGCCTGTCCAATCTGCTGCCTCTTTTACATGCAGGAATGTACGTACATTAAGCGGTGAATGGTGGAACACTCTAGAAAACCAAATATTAAGGAAAGTATTTGCCACGGCAAAGATAATAAACAGTGGCATTAAGCTGCTGACCGTAGCTTGTAGTTAAAAAAAAAATATATATACAGACTTGTTAAATATGAGACAGATAGTTGAATAAAACTGAGGTTCCTTTGATGGCATCCCTGTTTTTCTGTAAGAAAAAGAAATTAAAAAAAACCCTACTCCTTCCTGAATCTGATGATGATGATGAATCAAGTAACTTTTTATATAAAAAATTACATGGGGAACAAATTTGTACCTCATGTTACATCCATCCCTGGCCCCAGGGTTTTAGCTTAATCAGGTGTGAGCACTCCTACAACACACTTTGTTACTGTGCTGTCACTGCTTCTGCTCTCAGCCATGCCTTGCTAGGGACGTGTCTCCTGGTGCTTGGTCAGCCCATTCTTTCTCAAACCCTATGGGCATGACTCGATTTAAATCCCATTTTCATAAATAAGATTGCAACCTCTCAATTAATTGAAGGGAACCCCTAACACTTGCAACTGAAGTCCTCTACCTTCTTTGTGTTCACAGTACCCTGTTTCAAACAGTAGGCACGTCTACACACTCATCAATGCACCCTAATTACAGCACATTAAGTTTAGTGCCAAAATTGGGGCTACTGTGCAGTAGTGCTGGTGCACATTTTTGACATGACGCTAATAATGCGCAGTAGACTAATTCTACTGCTTATTAGCCCATTAGCATAGCTTTTGCTGCAATGTGCTCATGTGCAGTAGAATTAGCCTACTGTGCTTTTAGAGTCTCGTGTAGACGTGCCCAGTGGCTCTTAGCTGTAACAGATGATCTCATTATTACAACAGCTTAAACACAGGACGTATCTATGAAAAGGTGGCATGAGGGCCCTTGCAGAATCTCTGACGGATGTTGCAGACCCAGGTTTAAACCTCTGCTCTGCCTCAGATGTCCATTGTGGACATGTGTAATCATTTAATTTCTCAAGACTTCGTTTCCTCCATAACAGCATTTCTCTATCTCCTATGCATCTTGTGAGGATTAATATGCTAGGGATTGTAGGACACTCAAAGTTGTTGTCATGGGGCCTATGCAATGTACTTAGGTTATAAAGGCCTCGTAATGGGCAGCTATGCTGCTAAAGACCCTGAAAAAGAATCCAGTTCAAACAGAGAATAACAAATTTGTCAAACTAGGTGCAATATTATACCAAGAGACTGACATGGGCAACTTAAAAGAAACTGAAGACAAGATTATCAAGCCAATGTAAATTATATTGGCATGGATTATGTTTTAAAATTGTAGAGACACTTGGAATGCAAAGGCAAAAAAAAAAAAGACACACACCCAAGTGTCGACTGTTGCATGGACTATGGAGGAAACTTGGGTTATGAGCAAATATTTTAGTACAAATCAAATGCCTTCCAGGGATATGCAGCTGGGGATGGCGGGAAGAGATTAATATTGGAAGCTTCAGAACTTCCCTTGATTGAAGGCATTAACTTTTATTTTATTAACTTTTTAATGCCCTTCAAGAAGAGAGGGTGCTCTCGTGGACTTGCTTTCCCCACCCCCTAGGATGGTTGCCCTGGGGATGTTGCTCCTTCTAGGCTTTAAGTAGCAGCTGGCTGTGATTAAGAGGATTGTGAGGATCATGGCTTGATTAACTTTCAGCTGCTATTGGTTTGCTTAAGTTCCTGCAAAAGAATTAATCTTTTGGTTCGGCTAAATGTTGAACTCTAATGGATACCAGACCCTCTGGGCCCACCCAGAGTACAGAGTGCCAGGACCCCCATTTTAACATATTAAAGCTCTGATGCTATTGTCCTTTCAACAGTTAAACTCCCATGGTAGCTAAAGGGTATTTTGCCTTTGTTTGGACTACAGATTTTGCCTCCATAAGTATTACACCTATTCCCATCTGCCTATCTTTCTATCAACCATGTACCCATCAATCTTTCTTTCTTCTTATCAACCCTTTTCTTCTATCTTTTTACTTTTATATGTAAAGTGACATTTGACATTTTATTTTAACCAAAAGGAGTCAGGCTGTGTCCTTTATTAATCACGAGATCTTTCCATTAAGGTTAATAGAACTTAAGCATCTGTTTAAGCCATGTGCTTTTTTTTTTTTTTTTAAAGAACATGTTTTAGATTAGGCATTGGCTTCTTGGCCAACAGTGCAGATCTTCGTTTCAGAACAGGCACCTGATCTAAAACCACTGAAGTCATTTCATTGAGTCTAGAAGAAGAAGAAGAAAAAGAAACAGGGTCTCCAGAATTCAGAGAATTATATGGTGCCTTTCTGCTCTTTTTTCAGAGCATGGAGGAGACAAGAGCCTCAGCAAACACTGACTGATGGTAAGACAGGAAAGTTTATACAACTTCACGATGACAAAATTCTCACTAACCAATCACAGTCTAGGACTGGACAGACTGTCAGTGGATGGCATTGCAAGATCCCCACCCAGGGGGTCACAACCAGCAAACATGACACCCACCCTAATCTAGTTCCCCCAAATTGTAGACTGAAACCCAGTCTCAACAAGTTAGGCATCTGGATGTGCCAGTTTGATTGGCTTGTGCCTCATGTCATCTTCTTGCTGGAATAAACAAGTTTAAAAGGCTTTCAAGTCAGGAAAGCAACATTTCATGCTTACTTTGCAAAGGTGGAAACCAATGGAGAAATTAGCGATATGGACTGTTCTTTCAGTTTGGATATGGAAATTCACTACTTTGCAGTGGACCAGCAAATTTAATCATGGATGATTTAACTATTGACAGAACCCGGAAGACTGAGCTACAAACCGGAGAAATGGAACTTTTTATTTGTCTAAACCGAAACAGCGAGGAAGGAAGAGAATGGGGAGGGGTGTCTTCTTGTAACATTGTCTCAGCAACTGACACAATATGACATTTTATTTGTATTGGAAGGATACAATCAGGGCATGTTTGAAAAGCACAGAGCGGCATAGGGGAGTTATTCTATTTTAGGTATTGACTAATAGAAAATGACAGACTGAACCTTGCTGCTTAAGTCTACGCTATGCTTTGCATTATTGTCCTGATTAAATTTGGCTCCCTTTACAAGTAGTCAGCCTTTGACAAGTTTGACTGCATCTCTGCCAACAGTTGAAAGGCTGAATTCCTGGAGCTTATGGATATGCAACGATGCTAAGGACCTTGAGAGATTAAAAATGGTGTTGACTTCTATAACCAATAGCATATAGCATGCATGTAGTGCTGTAGTTCAAGTCCAATTTACTGGGATCACCATTCACTTACAGGGCACTGAAGAACGATTCTCCTTCATTGTAGAAATCGCTAGATGAAATTCTCTGTCCTGCGTTATGCAAGAGGTCATACTATATTATCACAGTGGTGCTTTCTGGTCTGGAAATATATACATGTATGAAGAAGCAGATATGTTGCTGTGGCCTCTGTGTGTTGGGGAGGAAGGGGGGTATCAAATACAAATCCAACCAAGTCAACTACAACACACAACACCATAACCCAACCCATGCAAGTTGGTGCAGCAGCCATCATGTAGTTTTCCGTGTGCCTTCCCAGTTGGGTGGATTGATGGCCATTTCATTTTTAAGGCTTATTCATACAGCACCTTTTTTCTGCAGTCCAAAGTTAATTTCAACTAACCAGCCTGAAATGGGGCTGGGAGGCAGGGCTTGGTGAACACAGTACAAAACTCTGGCAAACATCTTGTTAGAGTTCTCTGTATAAGGGCCACTGGTGGCATATGGTGCGTGTCTCCTCTCCAGGGCAGGTTCAAAAGGAAAAAACAAACTTCACCTTTTGGAATGTAACCAGCAGATGAAAACAAATTAACTTTTTTTTTCAGTTGTATATTTTAACCCAATGTCTGTTTTAACGTCCTGTTTTACAGCTTTCTATGATGAATTCCTTGGGTTGCCACCTCCCTCTGAGCTGGACTGTTCCAAGTCAACTTCTTCATTAATCATAGCCACGGCACGTTGCTTAGAGTTTTCCAATGCGCAGAACCCTCTTCCAGGCTTGGAGCCCCACTTGTTGCAACAAACACGTTGGAAGCTGTGTTTGCTTTGCGTGTCAGACATTGTTAGCATTTGATTTGGTGGCCTCTCCTGTGAAGTACAACCATCAGGCTCAGATTTCCGTTTCATCATGGAAGTGACAACATGCTGTTGAATTTTAAGTGAGTGCCTGGTATGTCTGGAGTTTTACAGATATTCGATTCTGTTAAGCTCAAATTCAAAAGGTCTGTGCATTTTAGAAAAGTCTTTTTTCCTCCTTATTCTTCTTTTACCACCAGTTTAGGATCAGTAAAACAAAAAAACCCCAAACAAACAACAGTGACTGAATTTGGTCCAATTTTCTAAAGAAATCTCTTTCACAATTTAAAACTGTAAAACTCAGTACTTCAGTGGTCTTGGATAAAAGAGATGCTAATGCAAAGATAAATAATATACACGCTCATACACAATGTATATAGACCCCGAGTTTGCATTCCAAAAGCCCTTGAGAGATTCTTATTGATGGCTATATATGCAGGACTAAAAGAAACCATATAGTGCATCACTACTTTAGCTAGTTATTTTATTTTCATATTACCAAACTTCCTCCAGAGATCAAGAAACCAAATTAATTTGAGACAATGGCACTACTTACAAGAGGCTAAACAGCATTTGGAATTACAACTGCCTCCTCCTCTTTTATACACCTGTAACTTTAAATATGAATAAATAAATTTGTCTCCCTTGAATGGTGCACTAGCTATACCATTCAGCTACATAGTTTGCACTAACCATGTGTGATATTGCAAAAGGAGCTTGAAAATATGCTATCACATGTACAGAGATGAATGTTTTCAGGTCTTTCCTTAAAAAAAAGATACCATTTGAATTCTGAGGTGCCATGTTTCACTTCTCAAGGTAATTTCTATACAATAAAAAAGCAGGCAAAAAAAATGTTCTTTTCAATGACATAAATAGTTTTTCTATGATATTTTTCAGGCCTCCTGCTCAATCGTTTGTTATACTGAAACCAGCTTGTTAGACCAATACTCCTAATGTCACCCAAAGATGCACACAAACATTTATGTACAAAGCCTGGACAGAATGAGTCTTCTCCAGAATGAAGACTCCTACAGAGTCTTTAGGAGTCTGCAGTCCTGCAGAATTAACACCATGAATCTCCTTTCTGTCTGAACACTGAAATGCAACATGTTTTAACATACAAGGACAGCATTTTCAAGCTTTTAATGAAGCTGTGGTGGTTAGTTCAGGTTGATTTCCAGCCTACTTCTGACATAGCTACAAGCCAGATCCCCTACAATCTAATTTATGTCTCATCATGGACACTACCACTATGCCATATTTGCTGTCACATTTATTGGAGTAAATGATTTAAAGCATAACCAGCAACATTTAATCACCAGGCAGAACGAATTAGAAACATAACCCGGTTTCAAAAATATGCTGCTGTGGCTCTTCAAGCTCTTGAGAAAGGTGGAGCCCAATTGACATTTGGGGCAGTTAAAAAAATATGTGCTGGGATAGTCAGAGCTAAACTGTTGGGATAAAACCAGCAAAGTCAATCAATATTTACACCAGCTAAGAGAAAGGACCAGTCTTGTCATAGCATTGGCAAGAAAAAGCTCATGCCTCTTTGCAAACACTTAAGTGTCACTCTTTGTCAACAGGTGTCAGGAGAAAAGAGCCTGAAAGCTTCAACTGCAGATAAGACTTCACACCCTGGCTAAGTACTGACCGTCAAAAAGCCTGTGGTTGAATCGATTCAAACTTGGCAGGTTAGTGTAAGTGTGTAGATTGAACCAATAAGCCAGTGAACAGACATCCACTTTTGATCCCAGAAATGCAGTCCCCCGCCTGTAGTGGCCCAGGCCAGAAGCCGGGGGGCGCTAGAGTATGCCTCCCTACTCAGTGGAATTTAAACCAAGGCTAACCTGCCCACCCACTGAGGTGGGGTTTGTGGGGGAAGTGCAAAGCATCCTGGGATGCTGGGGGACTGGGAGTTAACTTCAGTCTAGAGGGCCTTAACTTGAATCTGAAAGGGATCTGGGACAGAAGTTCAATAGACCAATTTAACCTAAATCAGTTAAGTCTGATACTGTATCCACCCAGGTTTACCTTAAACTGGTTTTAGCCATTTTGAAAGTGGTTTATGTGCACTGAACTTATGTTGTATTACAGATTTGAATCGGTTTCAAATCACTTATACCAGTTTGGGGGTCATTTCTGTCCCTAGCCCCTGATTTCAGAGGAGCAGAAATACATGTTTTCATGTATTTTTAATGAAGAAAAGAATATATTAGACAGGCTATTGCAAAATGATGAACTGCAATAGTTCTGAGGATAGGCCAAGTAAAATTTAGTAAATGTCTAAGTGATTTAGGTATCCTAAGTCTCTTTGACTTCCCTTTGGATTTCAGTCCCTAAGTCACTAAGGTGCTTTGGATAATTTTATCTTTTTTTAATTCATATACATTTCAAAGGGGAGGCACAATTCCCTCTTAAAGACGTTGGTGCAAACTTTACTCTCCAAACCAAACTCTCAGTGACATTACACGTGTGAGCAGACCTGGAACAGACACAACTTACACATCTTAACTGACCTAAATAAAAAGAATGAACTCTAATTAAACTAGCTGAGTTTCTTTTTCACTTCACTGTGTTGCAGCAGTTATTAGTATCACAGCAAGTAGGAATCAGGACAAAGTTATGCTCTGTGTTACAAAGTGCTGGAAGCAACAACAAAAATCCATGTGAAGCTTTGCCTTTAAGAAGGAAAAAATCATCATTAGGAAATGATCATAAAATCATACAAAATGAAGGCAGGAAGGGACCTCAGGAGGTCACATCTAGTCCAACCCCCTGCTCAAAGCAGGACCAGCCCCACCTACGATCCTTCTTTGTAGTAAATGGTATCAAGATTGAAGCCAGTGAAGTAATCAAGTTGTTATTTATGGGCCGCACAGATGTAAATGAGAACAGAATAACTATTGTAGGGTTATTACATGTTATGGAATTTCAGAAGGTGAAAAAATAAACTCAATTTTGAGGTACAACTGTAACTTGTGAGAAATCAATTAGCTAGTAGCATATGAAGTGACATCACATTCGGAAGGTCTGTTCCTGGTGACTGCAAGGCTTTGCAGCATATTCTTGGCTCACAAGAAGCTGCATGTACTATTTCTTTAAGTTTCTAGCAGAAAGATGGGTGGTGAAGCAGAAAGAGGGAGTGCCATTAGAGTTAGTCGTTCTCACTAAGTCCTCTTTATAGTGCTAAACTTATTTCGGTGATTCTGTTATGCTGCCAGGATTGGTGCTACGTGTCACTTTTCATGTTCACAGACACGTGCCATTCTAGGATTGATTCACTACTGAAAAGATTGTAGAACTGAGCAGAATCCCAGTTTCACTAAAAAATGAGCAATAGATTTCTGTGGGGTTGTCAGGTTATGAGCCTGGCAGGCTTCGGCTCATTACACCTAACATAATGGATGGCAATTAGAATTCTAAATCAATTATATAATTAATATATCTAATACATAAGACAGTAGGCATATCTATTCTGATGTACACAAAAAATACTTAAGAAGGCTTATCTACCTCATCTTTCAAGCCTTCCTTTCTCGAAAAACAAGAGACACCTCCACCAGTTCCTGACCCAGGATCCAGTCCTGAAAAATAATAAAATATTTTGAGTTCCTCTTTTAGGGTGCATTTTTTCTCGTAAAAATAATAAATGTCAATATCTAAACCACATTTAGATATTTTATTTGATCTTAGGCCTGCCAACTAAAACAACTTTCCGTGTCTTTATATGAAGGTACTTCACTATTTTAAAATAAATATTTAAATACAACTTTATAGGGAAAAAAATATTCCTGTGGTTAAATGAGATGCTCTGGAAAAATGAAGGCTGGTCCTCAGAAGGCATGTGGCAGCGGTATGCTTTCCTGTTCTTAATTCGGTTAATTCAGGATTAAAGTACAAAATTCATGGAGTTTCATAGATTCATAGAGGTGTAGGACTGGAAGGGTTCTTTAGTTATTTTAACTTGTAGATGCAATCCAAGGCCAAACAAAGTAAAGTTCGCCATTTTCTCTGTTTTCCAGTTGATCACATAACACAGTTCTGCCCTTACCCCATTTGAAGAACTCCAAGTGACATGTTTAAAAGAGGGATCATAGATCTGGAAGAACAGGAAGAATTTTGCTTTGCATTTTTCACAATCACATCTGTCAACTCATTTGTGATGATCCTGGCTTCCAGAATTGTTTGGCTTCTCATCTTCCTCCAGGGATCAAGATCAAATGAAAGAAATGAGGAATATTGGATAGAATTCGAATTCTGGGGCCCCGTTCTTCACACAAACCGTTCCAGTAACTAATAAAAATCTTCAGAGGCAGGACTGCTCCAACTAGCCAACCAAACGTCAGTTAAATTGGCAATGTGATCCATTACGTGAGTGCTGCCTTGGGAGTCAGAAAAACTAGGTGCAGCTCTTGATTCTTTCATTGTCTTGATGAGTAGCTGTATAAGTCATTTAGCTTTTTTTTGGCTCAGCTTTTCCTATCTGAAAAAAAAAAAGAATAAACCATCTTTTACTCTGTAAAGGTCTATGATATGCTTACATGGACACCCCTCTAACAGAGTTCTTGTATTATTATCACCAACAAAATGCCTTATTGGAGTATTATTGAGAATTATCAAATATATAGTTTCAATTGGTTCTTAACACAAGTACTTTCTTTAGCAACAAAATTTACTGCCCTCCACTGCCCTCCATGTCCAAAGCCCATTGTAATGGAAGTCTTCTCCTTGATTATTCTGGGTGTGTCTACACGTTCATTAATGCATCATAATTACAGCATATTAAGTTTAGTACCTGTAGTAACAGGTACTAACTTAATGTACCATAATCAGCACTACTGAGCATTAGTGATAAATGCATTTTTTGTGACGCTTAATTGCCATTGGAGTAATCTACTGCATTAGCATGGTTTTTGCCAGCCACTAATATTCAGTAGAATTAGTCCAATGGGCATTAAGCATCTTGTGTAGTTGCACCCACTGAATCTTTTCCTTAGAAGAAGCATTTTCTTAAATGATATCTTGGAAGATGATAGATCTTTTCCTACAAATGAGTCTTTTAATAAAGTCACAGAAAAGGGAAAAAACAGAACACGCATGAAAATGCAACCTAAATTGCCTCTACATTGATTATTTTTCAAACCTATTCATCAGTCAGTAGAATCCACATGCTGTCTAAATTTCTAAATTGTGTAATAATCTCCATAATGGATTTAGGCCTGGATGTTGGTCCTTGGTTGGACAAACTCATCTGTCTCTACTAGTTTCAGTGAATTTGATAACTCATATTACTGTGTAATATGTAAAGCTGCAATTATTGGAATCATTTGTCTACAAGGAAGCTTGCTGAGATGTCAGAAGTGTGACTTGTGTTCCTATGAATCCAAAATCCCTTTGAACTCTAATGGGATGATTTTCATTGACTTCAAATCAGTGACTGCAGAAGACAGAAATTTCAGTTTTCAGGTGACATGACTTTGCCCTCAATGCGTGGATCTAAAATTGCTTATTTCTCACCCAGGCAACCTGCCTTTTCAGATTATCTCCCCCTGCTTCAAGAAAACCAGATACTGATCACTGAATTCATTACCTGTTATCTTGGTTGAAGAAACAAAAATATCTCAGCTTGAATTGGATATGGTTCTTTTAAGTAATATAGTATCAGCTTTCAGTGCTGGAATCCCTTTCACGGCAGTGGTACTAAAGGATAACCCATATTTCTCTTTTCTACTTTGTATGAAAAAACAATATTTTCCCTTAGGCACTGTGGCGAGCTTGAGGTAGCAAATCACACATTACTGAATTTTTAAACTTTATCCTCACAGCCTACCTTTATATTACCATTCTTCCACTCCCAGTGAATCACACGTCCATTGTTTTACCAGCCAGCTTATTTGATCATCGAGGCAGATAAATGGTTTCTGCTGATATATCAAACAAAGGGTAAATTAAAGAAAAGGCAGGGTAAACAATACAGTAAAGCACAATTTCCTCTCCTCCACAGGAGCAGAATGAGGGGCTCTCTCTTTTGCTCAGTCTCAGCGCATAAGTGCAAATTCTGAACTGCTCACTGAAGTCAATGAGAGTCGAACATGTACATGGAGGGGAACTAGACACTTCAAGAATATGCCTTTTAAATGGGAAAATAGGCTTTTTCTTTCCATTTTTTCCTCATCTGATTTACTTTTGCTGTTTCATTTTAGGTTATTTCTATTGTTTGTTTTTAAAACAATAAGAGTATAAGGCAATAAAACCTTGGACTGATGATTCAGAGCAAAATAAGGCTGCATACAGACATTAAGGTTCTCCTGGGAGAGTCGCTGCTCTCCCAGGAAAAACTATAGCTATAAGCATCTTTATCACTGAGTAAAAATGGCTGCTCCAGGAGGAAAATAACCTGGGAACAACCAGGGTTAAACCGATTCCAGGAGAATTTCTCCTGTACGAGTGAATGTCTGGACATGCTCAGACACTAAGTGGTCTAGATGAACCAATTGTTAACAGCAGTGGTGGCAGTAGCAGTCCCTCAACACGATGGTGACAGAGAAGATGCTTGCATGTCTTAGTTTAATATGAGGATGTCAGTGCGTATCAGCAACCACACAATACTTTGTGGAAAAGAAACCTTAAGCTGATGACAAACCGGACAACCAGAGCACTAGTACCTAGCTTTCAAAAGGGATCTAATGAGTTGCGTAAATGAATAATTCAATATGAGCCCTGACTGACATGATGAAGAGAGTCGGTATAACATTAATGCATATGTCCATCTAGACTAATGGAAAGACCAAGGTCCACCTTGGCCTTTCTGTCTAGTTCTCCAGCTCTATGCAAATCCATTCTGATGAAGTAGGCTGTAGCCTATGAAAGCTCATGTCTCTCTGTATAAGTTAGTCTATAAGGTCCCACCCTGCCCTGCCTTCTGCCTAACAGAATAACACAGTTAATTAGTTCATATTTCCTGTATCCAAACTAGGTCAACAATTTGTAGAGCCCAGATATTCAGCTTATCAACATAAAATGATTAATTGTCTTCACTGGAAATGTAACAGTGAAGTTGAGGATCTGTTCAGCTGAGGATGTGCTCCCTGGACTTGAGAAGAGAATCAGAGACAAATTGATTTACACAGCTTCAGACTGGTGTATTTCCACTGACTTTAGTAGAATTACTAGTATGTCAACCGGAGGAAAACTTGACTCACTGAAATTACCCATATAGCAAAACCTGGCGCTTACTTATTATGCCTGGATTATTTCTGGGATTTGAGGTATATTTTGGATAGACTGAACAAACATCCCTGTGCCTTGATGATAAGCATGGCTGACCTTGGACTAACTTTATGCACCTGAGCAAAAGTTTTTATGTGAAGGGAAAGAAGCAGAATAAATTGTGTTTATACATGTCTGATAGGTGGATTTTCAATCTCTTTTTATGAAGGTAGCAATGTACGGAGCCCTACCAGTGACCTTAACCTAACCAGAGAGAACCTATTCCTCTTGGGTGAAGGGTAATTCAGATTCCATGCTAAGTGAGCCCTGACCTTTCCCTCGACAGAGATGGATGCCAAGCTGTGCTAATTATGTGTGGCGGTTTTGTGTTGTGGACCTGCACCCCAAGCACTAACCAGGGACTAGCAAAATCATTTCCCACTCAGACAGTGCTTGATCCATTGTACCTGAGATACCTGCCACTTCACTTGCCAACCGCTTAGATCTCCAGGGCATGGCATACTGTATGCTCTTGCCAGGCCTCTTCTCCATGCACCATCACAAACAGTGAGTATCACTGAGCCGAAAAACACACATGCACACACACATACACACTCACACAGTTGTAGTTGGCTGAGATCCAGACGTGGGGAAAGCTACATCATTGCACACTAAGCAGATGGATAAGACGACAAAAACATGGAATCGCTGAGGTTGCCATTACTGTAGAGAAAGCTAAAAAGACAGAAGTTAATATACTTTTTGATACATCTATCCTATATACACATATTATTTTGTAGAGAAAGATGCAAATCCTATCAGCATACAAGGAGGAATCTATATAGGGAACAAGAAAGGGAGAGAACTGAGTTAACTAGCTGGAAGTGAGAACCTGTCATTTTTTAATCCAAATGATCCCATCACCAGAACGGAAAGAGGTTTTCAGTTCAGTTTTTTCCCATTATCTGCATCGGGATGGTACTTTTTGAACTTTGCTTCTTGCTTTTGGTTGCATTGCTCAGCAAGACAAAATAACCGCACATGGGTCTGGTTGATTTTCAGTGACAAGGGCTACCAAAGTCACAGTCGTTGCTCTTCAGGTTGTGGCTTCATTTCTTCTACAGATGAGGCCCGTGCTATAAACTAGTGACCCCTTTGCTAGTAAAACCACTGCATATGCAGTAAAGTACAGCTGAGCAGCATATAATGAAGTTGATGCTTTCCAGTTTGGGATATCACCTAAAGGTGAGGTGCCCCCATCCCAGCACATGACTTGCCCTCTGTGTTTTATAAACGGTATGAGACAACCTTCGCTGACTCTCAGGGCAGGTACAGCAGCATGTTGTTCAGGTGTCTTTTGGTGCAACGTGGAGGAATGGCATAACTACATTCAAACAACCCCCCTCCCCAACCTGAAAGAAAACATTTTGACTGAACAAATGGGAGGAAGGTAGGGGGACCCTTCTCTGGAGCACCCTGGCTGACTTTAATCCCGGCAGGATGCAGTTTATAATTTAACAAGGCATGAATTTAAATACATTAAGAGCTAAACAAAACACTGGGAGAATTGGAGAGGTGAAAAGTCACTGCCCCTCCTTGTCCTGCTGTCTTCTTTTTGTTGGCTGCTGGGCTGGGAGACACAAAATAAAACTGAGCAACATAACCTGTCTGAGTTTTATTCAAATAAGCCAATTAAAACATCAAGTTGAAATGTCAGCGAACATGTTATGGCCACTCAGGAATTAAAGCAGGAAGGCATCTGTCTGTCTTCACCACAAAGCATTGAAGATTTTTAATTTCACTTCTGTAAAAACGATGACATTAGATTACAGCCATGAAAAACACCATCTGCAATGTGCCCTGACTGGCTGGCTGTCATCAGCTGTTGCTTTTTCGTGAAACTAGATTAAGTTAAACACCGTTTTCATTCTCAGGAACAATTTATCACAGAGTGTCTCTTTCTCCAAGGTGCGTGCTGTCTACCTCGTGCAGTAGACACGGTGTGCTGGTCCAGAATTGTTGGCTGGTCAAATTCAGCCTAATTCCCTTGGCTTCTCTGGCCTACACCGAGGCAGGATCTCACTCCACTTGTACTCCTTACTGCAGCATTTTTAGACTGCAAACATCTTCGTGGACCACTTGATGTTTGGATAGCAAGCCGAAGACAGAAAAGCTCTTGTGGGTGTCAACTCTAATCCTTCAAGGGGCTTTAAGTGCCGTTCAGCTCATCATAGATTCATAGATTTTAAAGCCAGAAGAGACCATTATAATCATCTAGTCTACATAACACAGACCACAGATTTTCACCCATGAATTCCAGCATCGGGCTTATACATGAGTGGGAGCACAATTTTATTTGTTATTTTTATTTATTGGCCTCACTTTTTCCTTTTGAGGACAGCTGAATATGAAATCCTGAGTAATCACCTAGAGAAAATCAGATAGTTGGGGATACCGTATGTCTATGCCATGAATGCAAGAATATGGAAAGAGAAGACAAAATATGCAAAGTATGCATTTTTGGCACTACTATGCAAAAATGTAGAGAGGAAAAGAGGAGGCTGGTAAAATTAATCAGACTGAAGGAACACAACATATTGATGGAAGTGAAAGGATTGTCCAGGGGTTAAAGTACTGGTTTGAAACTTTGAATATAAAGATCCAGCTCTCTGATCTATCAGAGATTCTCTCTGTGGCCGTAGGCCAGCCACTTTGTCTGTTGTGCCACATGCAATATCTGTAAAATAGAGGTTAATAGAGCTCCACAGAAGTGGTCTTAGGATAAATACTGGTACATTAAAGGATGTGAGTCTGTAGAAGGAGGGCCCTGAGACCCCACATGTGGGTACAGGGGAGGGTCATTAATCCTCCAGGCCCCTCTGCTCTAGTTGAAAGGGTGGTGGGTAGCTAAACTCTAACCAGCCCAAGACTGGAGAATGGGCCAATAACTACAGACACTTCAATTATGGTTCAAAGAAATGGTATATGAATAAACAACTCATCAACTCTATACACAACGAGATACACTTCCAAATACAAGATACCAAATACAAGGTATACCAACAAATCAACTAACACAAGATAACGAGACGATAGAGCAATCTCACGCTCTCCCTTCCCACAGGCACCACTTACACGTACACAGAGCTGCCCCCCCAGCACATATTCACAACACAACAGAGATCTTGGCCTCCCCCAGTTCTCACTCCACATACGCACAACACAACAAAGATGTTGCATCCCCTGCCCCCCAGCCCTCACTCCACATATGCACAACACAACAGAGATCTTGGCCCCTCTGGCCCTCACTCCACATATCCACAACACAATGGAGATCTTGGCCTCCCCCAACTCTCACTTCACATACACACAACGCAACGGAGATCTTGGCCTCCCAGGCTCTCACTCCACATGCACAAAAACTAACAAACATCACCTTCTTACAAACCAGTGTCTCACAGACCTTTAGTGCCCCACACCCTCACATGCATGATCACACCTTCACGCCGACTTGAGCACACACTCAAGCTCAAGTCGACTTGAGCACTTGAGCACACTCACCATACCATACCATTCAATCCTACTTGGGCACCAAGTTTGGGAATGGGATCCCTTTTATACAATCCAGTCACACCATCTCTGTCAATTATTGACAGAAGCAATCAAATGCTTGTGCACACGGTCCTGCACTCGTGCACATAGCACGCCACCGTTTCACACAGCACTCAATCGGTCAGTCACATAAATGTACTCTTTCCACCTCACACTGTTCCCATCACAGTGTGGGTCTCACTGAGTATGCCCATTCCTAGAAAGTAGGTCCTGGTATAAGAGTTCAGTCTTTCCAGCAAGTTCTGACTTACTGAACTGAAAACTAAAACCTGTGGCCTACAAGTAGAGTTGGGCATGAAATATGAATCACATTTTGCAAGGAGTCTTGAGGCTTGGATATTTGTTTTCTTTTCAGTATGGAACCACCATAAAGCTCTGACTTGGACAAATCAACATTTGATGATGGGAAAATGTTAAGTTGAAACATTTCTGACTCGCTCCAACCTTGAGGAAATGAAATGCACTTTAGTATTTGGCAATCCAATGGCCATTTACTTGCTGAAACTAGATCTATTAGTCCATTCCCTTTTTATTTGAAGGACATTATAAGTTGTTTTGTTACTTTAGAGAGAGTTAGAGTGAAGTTATTACTGTGATGGGCCATTATGTAAGAGGCAAGGATTTCTTAGGGTGATCTCTTTTACTGGACCAACTACATAGTTAAGAAAACACATTGCCCTATGAATTCCTTGTGTTTCACACTATTTTGAAGACAAATTAATCCAGTCTAATCTTTATCTGTCTGCATCCTTTACTTGTATATTTTATAAATATGTGCAAATGGAAACCAATTCTTTTAGATGCCGTGGTAAACAAGTATAAAGAGGAAAAAAATCCAAAATGTGTCCATAGTCCACATTTGCAAAGTGCAAGTCTATGTTCTTCAATTGCAATGACGGGCAGCTATAAAAGAGATATATGTTCAATGCAGCTGGCATCTCAGGAGCTAGTGTTCTTTTGTCTGGACCAATGAGAAGTACAAATAACAATTTGGAAGAGCTCCTGGTACACTGTATCTGATACTTTGGTAAAGTTTGCAGAGGAAAGGACTGTACTCATTTGTTTCTGGAGTTCAGTCCTTATTACTCTAAAGTTGTAAGTGCTCAGTTGGTAGCAGTCTTGCTTCTGGCCTCATAACAAGCCACGGGCTCAGGTCCAGGCCTCGCATGAATACACAGTACTGGCTTGAAGGGGGAATAAGATGTGTGCTGTACAGACAGGGATGCTATTCATTAGGTGAGGCATTAAAAGGGGAGTGACTATGGATCCTAGCCTTAATCCACTGAGCCAAGGCAGCAGATCCAGTGATGTATTAGAGAAGCACAAGGACCCCACTTCATTTCCCTAAATGCTATTCCTGCTCTCACCCAAACAGGCTGTAATGGCCATGTACTAGGACTCCTAGCTCCCTTTTGGCTTCTCCACTGCTCCATTAGTGATGGCCAGTTAGCTCAGCTCCTGATGGGGCACTTCCCCTCTTTCAGGGAAGGATGAAATCAAGCAGGAAGTCTCTCTCAAGCACAATGACATTTAGCGGTCAACTGAAATACGGCAAATGAAGTCCTTGATCAGAATGGCTAAGCCAAATCTAAGCAGGAGAGAGCCAGCAAGAGTCAGACCTATGCAGCCATGCCTCTAAGGCATGTCTCTTTTTTACAAGCCAGTTTGCCTCTATTAGGTTACTTTGATTCCTACTTCCGGGCACCAAAGCAAATTAATTTCCAGCCATTGGGGTTTCCATTTTGTTTGCCCGGTCATTCTTCCACAGGGGAACTGCCCTCCTTGGCTCCTGACAGTCTACTTCCAGAAAGGCCACGTTGCTACCTGGCAAAACCATCTTGCTCCACCTTACATCTTCCCAGTGCATAATGACACATAACCAAAGCAGGAGGGAGGCTGGGGTGCCGAGGGCGCTAAGACACACGGTTGATAGCCCAGAGGTCACAATTTCAAGGCCATAGCAGAAGCACTCAAGGTGCCTGTCAGATTCCAATGAATATCTGCAAATTCTGCTAAATACCTTGTCACAAGGACACAAAAAAGGAAAGGACCAAGGCAGGGGAAAATGAAGCAAACACGCTGATATTAGAAAACAGAACCACGTTGTGTCATGTCCCTCCCTG